CAACTCTTCCACTGTGTCAAAAATAATCTGCTTTTCATTCAGATTCTTTAAAATCTTAGATTTTAGATTTATGGTCCTGGATGAAAAAAGCAGAGACGTGAGAGGCAGCACATCCTGGTCTGTGTATACAGGGATGCTGTTACTTATCTAAAAATAAACTACATATTTATATGSAAATAAATCCTTGTAGATTTGTAAAATGTCAAACAAGCAATTCTATCTCTGGATCTGTATTATTGTTTGGCAATTGCTATTTTCTGTCACTGAAGTCTACGGTTACATCTGTGATCCTGTTGCAAATCTAGGGGAAATTACCTTTTGAATGACACATGGGCTGACCTTCATCTCCACTTAATCCAGGAAGAGTTCACATTTGGCTGTGGGGACACAAAGGATAGATTTAAAGTACCAATATTTTTCTGGCCGTAGTTTAGAATTCAGCAGTGCACTGGATGCCCCATACTGAAGTTTATCTTCATTCCTTCCTCAGAGATGAAGACAGTGTGTGATAAACTGCAAGAAACAATGAAGGCTCAGAGTTACCAAACACTGGAATCAAAGAGGTTATATATTGCTGCTTTTTTTTGAAATAGTCTTATTATTGAAAGAGATCGCAGGAAGTCCTCTAACAGGGAATGATAACAACGAAAATCCCCTAAACCTCACACATTGTACACGAAGTGTGAAAATACACATAATTAGAGCAACACAGAMTAATTGGCCTCCAGAGCAAGTCTCATGGCAAATTCTTCTGACATGAAGAATTTATTTATGCATAAATAAATAAATGCATGAATAAAAAGCTGATACAGTGAATAGTGGGATACCTCTGACTACACTCTCTACTTTCAGTTTCAGACAGGCTTAGACCCTCATTTTCCTCCTAATATTAATCACAGATGGATGTATAAACTCTGCAAGGCAGAAATCCTCTTATCTCCACTTCTTTGTTGTCTGCAGACTGTTTGATTCTAACCCTGTATGTTTAAAGCTCTGATAGTGCAGCTTTTAACAGTGATGTGTATTTAGCTGTTTTTTTAGAATTGAATGGTTTTCACAGAAAATTTCTAAGCCTGGCCAATTTKCCAGCCTGGGAATTTCACTTGTAAGGAAGCTGAATCCTTTTCTGCTCCAGCCAAGTATTTCCTGAGAGTCACATTTATGTTGGCACACAATTGTGAAGTGTTGCTAGGGGTACAAATGCAACATGAATGTAAGGAATACACAGAATCTTCATGACATAAAATCCAAGTGCTCAAGGATCAGTATATGATGGCTCACCCTGTCACAATGTGACATTTGCCTTGTTAAGAAGTCGGTTCAGGGACACCAAAATATACAGGAAATCTGGAATGCTGCAGTCTATCAGTTTGGTGTGGGATTTTAACTCCCACCTCTAAATTTGTTTAGCGAAAAGCTCAAATGAAACTTTGGTCTCTTTCTGAAAATTAATTTTAAAAATGTAAAGCAGACACCCCTGTTTAAACACAGCTGGCRAAACATGGGATTTCCCAACTATGTGACATCTGGTCCCTCCCTGCTGTGTGCAGTGTGTCCTGATGCCATGCAAGCCAGCCTTGGATTGGCATTTTGCAAAGTGTGAAGTGTTTGCAGTCAGGGAGCCAGGGAGGCAAGGACTTGGAGATCCAATAGTCCTTGGTTGTCCTTAGAGATCCAGTTGCAGGATGCTGCAAGAAATCCAGTAGCTCTGTTGAACAGGAAACAAATTCAGAATTGCTGGTTGTGTGTGTAGTTCCCTACACCTCTGCTCTCAGGCTGCTGGAATGTACCCTGGGTATTTGTAGCATGWGTGTATTTGAGTTTCCTCCACTGCATCAGTAGCTGCTGTTGGTTACTTATGYTGAAGAGGCTTTTTTCGCAATGACCCAAGTGACAGCGCCTGTGAAACAAATAGCTTGATGATTTTAGGAGCTGTATTTGGGTGCAAGGATTTCTCAATGGTTGGGTGGCTGAACCTTGCTCAGACTTGCCTCCCTCGTTCCCTTTGGAGAAATTAAGAAACTTGCTGGGAAGTTTAGCAGTGCTGGGACCTCTGCTGCTGGTAGCACTGTGGGAGGGCAGGGTGCCTTGGAACTGCTTGTTCTCCCTGCAGGGARAGCGAGGCAGATTTGGATGTGCAGTGATTTGGATGGGCAATGCTGGGCTGTTGAGGGAAAGAAGTAACAGTGAGTTTGAAGAACAGTTGGAAGAAAGACATAATCCTCAAATGGAAGTAGGCCTAGACAGAGCAATTTCAATCAAGCCAAGCCACAAACTTTAGAGGAAATCCAGATCTGATTGAAATTTCAGGTGTTTAAACTTGCTGGCTTCCCTATCTTTGAAGAASCACCTTTACTTTGCCTAAGTCTGTGGTTATTTGGTGTTCATCTGCCTTCCCAGCTGAAAGCAGTTAATTAACTGGCAGGAGAGCAGCCCATTYGCTTTAGCATTTGACAAATGAGGAGCAAATGTCAGCACAGTGATGTCTGGCTGTCAGAGCAGGGTGCAGCTCAGACCTGCTTKCTTGCACTGGTTTGCCTGTGGACACAGAGCCACGATGTTTATCAACATCTAGGATTTCAGGGCTGTACCCAAAATGCTCAGTGTGTAGCCATTTGAAGCAGTGCTAGTGATAAAAAGGTAGAGCAGTGGGTAATAAATCTAGTGTGAAGTGCCTKGGAGAGCGATATGAAGATAGAGAATCAAAAAGTATTAAATCCTGAGGTRGGGTAATTATTTTTAATGACTGTTTACTAGTCTGTGCTTCTTGGAAAGTAGGGGGGTTTTGAGATGGTGCAATGTGTGTTGCTAAACTGCCAGCTGCTRTGAGCAGGACTATGTTTGACCTAAATGGAAGCCAACAGATGAAGTTTTGCATGCTCAGGTAAGTAACTTCAAGGCAAAAATGCATGAAAGAAAAAAAAACAGTATTGAAAGGAAGCATATTCTGAAGGCAAACCATCTGAGGAGGTCTGGAGACAGGAAATCTGCTTTATGTTAGCACAACCCCTGATTTTTTGAATTAGGGGTTGTGGGCTGTGCTCTGCACCAGTTAAAGTGAAATTCTTCCAAAGCCATCAGGATTGCACCCTTCCACTGGTTTTAAGGGACTGTGCCTTCCCACAGAAAAGCCATTTGATCTTTCTTGCTTTTAAATACAAATGTGAATTTCTCATGAGGTCTTCTTCATTCTTACTGTAGTACAATGTTTCTGTTGGCAGCATTTTTCTGAACTAAATGCCAGGCACATTTCAGATGCAGTCCTAYGTCCAAGGTTTTGCATTAAGCCTCTCAGAAGGGTTCTCCAGTAATCTCCAGGAATTCCTTCCTGGTGGTTGTTGCCCAATAACTGAAACCTTGATTTTGCATTTTTTTTTCCTGTGGGCTTTCTCTGATGGATGGAGATTAATGCTGTCTAGTGATCCATTTTCTGCTGGGATTAGGAGTTCAGSGTGAAGTCATCGTGACAAGTGCAGTAATTCACAACAACAGTGAAACCCGTTTGGGTGAAATTTCAACTAGTGCTACTGTATTTTTGCTTTTTTGTCTTTTCCYAAGAGACAGGAAATGTATTGTATCTGCTTGAGGTCAGCTTTGATTTTGCAAATGCAAATGTGCTCTGTGGATGGCATTGAAGTTGGCTGCTTGTAGAGGCTTTTGCTTCCCAGCTAAGTGGGAARCTAGACTAGAGGATGATTTGTTTCCTGTTTGTGATGTCCCTTGCACTTGTTGTCATCTATTATTTGTGCCACAGCTTTACATTGTGTAGGGGCCTTYATAGAAAACTGAGAAATGGAGTTGTCCATTCACAGTTTTCAAATTTCTGCACTGTTAGAAAACTGCTGTAGCTGAGCCACTTACAGGACTCCTCACCAGAGGTCCATTTCCCAAACTATGTCTTTCCTTTAAAAGAAAGTATTTTTCCAAGTATTTGAGAAGAACTTCTCCACTGTAGATCAKGTATTGCTACTCAATGTCTTTAAGAAACTCATATAAAATACATAATGATAATCCTTCCTACTGGCTTGCCAGACTCGAGTATTCAAACACTATGGACTAGCTGAGAAATACAAACAAATGCAGTTTTCTTCTGATCTTCTAGGAATGACTGTAAATCTTTCCTTTGCTATTATGAGAGTTATGAGCTTCCTACTTTTAAATGTGCATCTAGTTTTTTAATCAGGAGCTGATATTTTAGCAAGCCACGCGACTCCAGGAGCAGACTCACTSTGTGGCACTGGAGCTGCACCCCCTCCTTGTCTGCAGGCAGCACRAGCGATGCTTTGCCCACGATGCAAATTCATTTCCATATGAATTTAGTGCAATGTAATGTCAGAAATGTGCAYGGTTATGTTGTCCCCAGGACTTGGGTCACCCCTGTGAATGAGGCTGCTTGAAGTTTGTGTACCCCAGCATTTACCTGTTTCCACCACCAGCGAGTGCCTCCTTAGTTGTGACAGTGAGTAACAATTGTTAGTGTATTGTCAGAGGTTATCACCAGGCAGTAATTTTGTCATATTGTTGTGCTGKCTAATTTAAACTCTGAGGGCTTTTTGCCTGACCTTGCAATATTGCAGGGATGTAGTTGTTTGGATTTTTTTTTCCCTGTAAATGTGCAGAATAGCTTGTTAGAATGGATTGTGATTTACAGTGAATCGGGATAATGCCTGTTTTGAAAGGTCCTGTGCACCCCTTATGTGCTGGAGGATAACTACAGTTTTTAGTGGTTATTTCAAAGATGTAGCAAGTATTTTCTGTAGTTTTCCTCTGTCTAAAGAATAACAATAACAATTAATCTCCTCAGGGCTTCTTCACATCCTAATTAGAACCAAGCCTCTCATTAGTCCCACAGGGAGACGGAATCAAATGCCATATGGTATTTCACACTTAGGATGCTGCGCGTACCAAGGGCTGGGAGCAGACAGGAAAAGGGGGAGTTAACAATTCATAACCATTTATGGAGCAGGCACAGCCCTCCTTGGACCCGGTTCAGCAGAGTCTGAGGGCCTCAGATCAGGAACTTTATCTGGCCAGAAATTGCCTCGGCACGCCGGCGTTGTCGTGCGCGCGTGTGGCCAAGTGGGGAGCGTGGCACAATCCCTGTGCTGGCACCCACACACGCCAGGAATTAATGCACTRTCCCTGGAAGAACCATGGCTGGATTCTACGGGTGCCTGAAAAGTAAAAAGTAAGTGCCATGCWGAGCCCTCCCCTCCACCTTTCCAAAGTGAGCTGGGTCTAGTGGGTATTTTGAAATTCTGTCTTTGTTGTCGTGCAGCTGCAGTGCTGAACAAATTGTTTATGCCTTGGGAYTGAAGGACCAGTTTGAGCACAAAAGTGCAAAAAATCAGTCCTGGCTAAAATATTAGTTTGGTGAAAATTGGTCATGGTTTTTTTTTTCTTCCTTCCGAGGTATAAGCATGAAATATTGAATAAGGAATTAAGAACCTTTTCCTGTTTAATTATAGCAAGAGGAAAAATGCCTTCTTCCCTGGTGATTAGCTTTATCTTTTATATGTTAACACATGAACAGCAATGTATATTGACTTTTAAAAAATGTTCAGCTAGAAGTCTGGTATAAATGCTCTTTAAGAACTTGATGAGCTCTGTTTTTCTAGAAGCAATCTGAGGTTTGTTTCTGTAATTGCTCCCTGTTGAGAGATTCAGTTGTATTTAAAAGATTATTTTTTTTTATTACCTCACTGGTGTGTTCTGTTGGAGTAGACTATCAAGGGAAGAGAGAATGAGACAGTACACATTAGTGGCTACAAACCACCATGAAGATGCATTCTGTTTCTCCTTTGACATTCTCCCTGCTAAGGAATGGAACAAAATTTCCTGCTGCCAAACCTGAGCAGTGGTTTGATCTTGTTTTGCACCAGCAGACTGCAGAGGGCTCTATTCTTGCACCTGGTCTGGGATTACAGACAGGGAACATGCACAGTGGAAGGCAAGAGAAGTTGTGTCTTGGGGGTAAGATGTGAATGCTGATAGTTAAATGTGTGGGTAAATCCTGGGTAGCAGAGGGGGGGAAATAGTTCAGAAGTGGAACTGGCAACTGCCTCTTTGTGCTTTTCCCTCTCCTGAAGGTTATATCCCTCACACCGATAGTTTGTCTCACGTTGCTCTGGTGGAAATGGGCATTTTCAAAGGCACACAACTCCTGCTGGATTTCAGTTAGCATTTCCATCCCATATTGAATCCTTTCCTCCTTTGAAATGGATTAATGTTTGGGAATGAATGTTTGGCATGTAAAATTGCTTTAGATAAAGGGAGAGTACAGCATCAGAACTATTAAAGGGCTGTGAGTCTTGATGAGGGTCGGTGGATTGGCACTTGCATTGACAAAAAACATCAGTTAACATAGTTTGATTTTCCCCCCAAAATCCTTCAGCATCTAATGCACTTAAAACAAATTTGAAATTCACAGGGAGGCTATAAAGGCTGGACAGATTAAGCTTTTTTTAACATGTGGCATATCACCTCTTCTTTCCTGATCAATCTCCACCTGATTTATGAGGAGCAGGGTATTTTTCTTSAACAGATTCTTCTCTCTTGATGCTCTTCAGCTAGGTGTCTACACTTGATAATATATACAGATGATATTTCTCAGCCTCCTCTTTCAGCCCCGTGATATGTTCCCAAGTGAATTAGTGCAAATACTGATCCTTTGCAGTCTTCACTAATTTTATGTGGTGTTTTGGCTGTGGTTATTGGTAGTTAAAATGAGTTCAAGACCAGTTGCAGTAATAGTGATGCTTTTAGCCCTGATTAATTTTCAATGAAATCCGTTTGGAGTTTAACATGAAGTATTTGTCTTTCTGGACAAATACGTCATTGGAACAGCTTCCCCAAATTCTCATGTGGTCATTTGACCTGTAGGAGTTAGTTTGCTTTCTGAATGAAAGCTGTTTTGGAATGAAATTATTTTKATGCTTTAAGTAATTGGCTTGGGTACCAGTAGGAATTTGGCCCAAGTGACTTTGAGCTCAGTGCATGCCATGAAACCTGCCATGGACACTGGGAAAAGGTTCCCTCCAGAGCTTTGAGCTGCTGAGTCCAGCTAAGGCACCTGGAGATGTTTCAGTCATGCTCTCCTGTGCTGCTGTCACATCTACCCCACTCCCCCACATTTTACAAGAGGAGGCAAAGGCTCTGTCTCAGTGATAATGTGTGGCTGAATCTGATCTTTGAAGCTCTGCCTTGTTAATATCCTCTTATGACATGAAAAAAAAGAGACCCCAAGGCCTAATCCAAGTAATTCTTCTTCCCAGTCCCAATCTTGGCTGCTATTTCACTCAAATAAAACTTCTAGATTGCTTTCCTATTTCTCTTTAACCAGCAAATGCAACCTGAATAATCTTGAATTGCTCTGCTAAGTTTATAGCTCATCACCCTTGTTGCAGTTTTTCTTGCTCCAAGTATGATGCCAGAAAAAAAAAAACATTATACCTGGACAGATATGATAAAGTTTCCTAAAGCCTGTAGGGGAATCTTTCCATATGCTCCTCAGTTTTTGGGACTAGCCAAGTATGTTGTTATGAGCTGAAAATGTGGTTGCTTGAATAGTAAGGTTCACTGATGGTCAATGCAAACTGCCAATTTCCAAAGACAAATATAGTGTGTTAGAAGCTATATAAAATATTTGGCTGAAGGCTTTGTGTGCCAGCTCAGAAYGGTTTCTATAGCAGACTATAAGAAAATGTATTTAACTGTATTTAATGTGGTCACTCAGGATTTCATGGTGCCTTTCACAAACAATCCCAGAATTATGGACATTTCAGCTTGGATGTCTTCTGCTTTGCCAAGCTTTGCACTTCCAGTGGGGTATTGTGTTCTTTTCCTATATCCCATAATTGTCAGAAAATGCTGATGTGTGCTTTTATCCTGCAAAGAAGTTCAGCWTTAGGGTAAAGCAAGTTGATCACAGAATGCATCAGTAGAATCTTCAATATATTTCTAGATTGTTTGAGATGAGAGCAATTGCCAATGTAAAATGACGTTATGGCCATGCCACTGAGTAGGGTTAGGTGCTATTACTGTATTTAGTGCTGTTGCCTGTTCAGRTAAGCGTCACAAAGAAGTTGTGGTGATTGCTGGGTTTATTCCACAGATGGGGCAGTGCTGCCCACCTGACAGACCACAGAATGTGGACATCACTTTCACATTATTTCCCAACAAGAGGAAAAATCACTCAATTAACAGCTTTTCAGTGTTGGGGTTTTTTTGAGATGAAGATAGCTGAGTATGAYAGTGGTTTCTGCCCAGCAAAGCAAGTTCACCTGTGCAGAGACAATCTGTGGATCCACACAGGGTGACAATATTGGGTTTCAAGAAAAGCTTTTGTGGCAAGTGGGAGCTCTCCCTGGTAGGGCCAATTCAGAGAGCGTGAGCTGAGCTGAAAAGACTCCTCGGGTGTTGAGTCTCTTGGAGGAATCTGTCAGTACACAACYTGTGAGCATGTTCCTGTGCTTGACACTTATATAGTGTTTGGACATTTGTGAGCCTTTTGTCTTCAGCCCATAGGAGTCATTCAGTGCTCTGCCTGGTATTGCATGTGCGGASGCTTCAGTCTTGCTTTCTTATTCCAGAATAGCAGAGAGGGTGAACAAAAGCAGTCAGGAGGTGTCAGAGCCATGGCACTGCAGTGGGGCACAGTTAGCACAATGGTGCTATATCATTAACAAAAAAATCAACTATTTCCCTTTGTTGATTCATTCTGTTTGACTCATCTCTGTGCAAGAAGTTCAGCTCTGGCTTAATACACCAGTGAGTCACTCCACATCTCCCAGTCCTCCTCATTCTGTTCGTGCTTCTCTCTGGATGGTGTTTGTTTTAGCAGCCACAGTGGTACAGTGTGTTTGCTGGCTGTAGGCAGAGGAATTCCAAGCAGGCCTGTTTGTTTGGTTTCAGCAGAACARCCCTTTCCCTATCACCAGGCTTCTGAGTATTTGACAGATAGGCTGTCAAATTGACCTCTAATGCTGCCTGGCCTGCATCACTGGCAGTGGAGCAGCAGCTTGGTTTGGGACAACCTGCTGAATGCAATTCTCACTCTCTGGCGTCATTTGACTGTCAGGTTTTTTTGTCTACGTTATTTTGCCAGACTGAGCCATGAAAACATCTTGTCATAATTTTTCTTTGTGTTCTTGTCTTAGACAGAAACTTCTGCTGCTCCAAGTGTCTAGCTTTGTACCCCTACATCCAGCTGGAGAGATTAATTTGTTATTTCCTCCTTGTGCACAGGCTAGAAAGTTTAACAGCTGTGATGTGAAGGCCTAGAATTGGATTTAAAAGCTGAAATCTGATGATACATGGGACAAAAATGTAGTGGGTTAAAATTGGACTTCCATAGATAACCTACCTGAGCTGGTGTAGGGCAGCTGGAGCTGATTACCTGCCAGATTTGAGAAAATTTGAGATAAGTCTGCCCACGGGGAAACAGGAAAAAAAAGCAAGGTAATTCCAAGGTTGATTCCCCTCCCGTCCCCAGATTTCTCCTGCTGTAAGAAAACAGTTGAGCACAAGGTGTTCTGCACTACTGTGATTCAAGCTTACAGTTCTGAGTTACATCTGTTACAGTCTCAAGGCTGGTAAAACTACTATGGGCTAAGGAGTTTGAAACATTATTTTTAATACAGCAAAATCTAACTGCAWACGCTCTTATTTTGTTTGTCTTGTTATATTATTCATAATTATTTGTTTCAAGATAGCAGGTGGCCTCCCACTCCATTGAGGGAGTCACTGTATAAACAAAGGAAAAAAACCCCAGTCAGCTGATATCCTGTCTGATTTTGCTCACAGATGCTGAGCTGTCACTGTTCATCACTGTGTTAACAGTCAGGGTTGTGCCAAGAGCCCAAGGTTTCCAACACAATGTGTGTGAAAAAGGCATGACCTTTTTGTGTGGGCCACACACATCATTATTCATTTCTTTAATTGTATTGGCATATTTATAACATTTAGTTATACCTGTGTGTGCTGCTGCATTTGGGTGAGGGTACAGGTGCCGAGACATTCTGTGGTCTGTTGTATTCTATCTCCATGCTGGAGGATACTGCAATCTCTGTGACTCTTGTGCTTTAACACCAGCAATTAAACCCTAAAGCAGCCTCACTCTCCCCTGGTGGGACTGGAGAGAGAATCCAAGGGTAAAAGTGATARAACTCATGGCTTGAGATCAAGACA